TGAATAGTTCATAATTGTACTCACTGACAGTTTTAAAATCTTGCAAACATAGATGCATCCACTCATAGCGGGTTTTCGGAGGACTATAGTCCTCTGATGATCAAATCTTTCAGTTAATTTTTTACAAAAACCTATGAATCTTTCTCAGTGACATATTCAATTTTCAATTCATCATGAAAATGATGACGAAGGAAGATGAGTGCTTTTGCACGATCCTTTAGGGATTCTTTGTTTCCTTCTTTTATTATCTCTCCCACACCTTTTGAGACAAGACGGATACCAGCATCGAGTACACATGACAAATAATTTTTGCTAGATATGTCAAGTGTAGCAAACTCAAGTTTTGTGATATTTGTCATTTGATTTACTACACAATAAAGCAAAAGAAAATACAATTAGTTTCGAAGAATATGATTACACGTCAAGTAGTCAATATCAATATGACATAAGCTACGTGTTTTCCTTCAAAATTAAACATTAATTTAAAATAATATATTTTTCGAAACATGTGCTACTTCAGGAGTACATTTTATTTTACTATTACTTCTTCAAGAGTAATATGTCAATATTCTTCTGAAATATTGAAAAATATAATTGATGCACTTCAGGAGTAAGTATTATTCTTCTCGGAATATTAATTATAAAGCAAAGAATATAATTCACATACATGAATTAAAGCCAAGTTTACAAATTGTTTTAGCCGCAAATTGACCTAAATTGACTCAAAACTCAAATTCGAAAATTGAAAACATGCAGTTGTGCCGTACATGAAAACATGGATTAAAGACAAATTCTTAAGCATATAACAAATGCAACTAAGGGTGTGTTTGTCTCCCATTATTGGGAGAAAATAGAGTAATGAATAGTATTTTTTGGAGAATGTGTGGTTGAAATTTAAAGTAACTTTATTGGTTTGTGTGTAGACTATTTTATTGGGTGAATGTGTGGTGGAGAATCTTACTGTAGCAAACAATTTTTTGGAATAATAGTAGACAAACATGGGCTAAATATGTTTTAAATGAATGGATTCACAAAAATTCATGCAATTGACTGCCACATAATCAAAATCAAGATGCAAAATTAAGAGGCGGAAATTAATGCAATTGTAGCAGATGGAGCTGCCTCCAGTTTCTAATAACGTGTTATATGAAAAAAAATCACATGTTACCAAATTAATTTTGGTACAAACAATAAATGATTATGTTTAAAAAAAATATTACTATCTTCTCTAAACTTTGAAAAATTAAGCTTTTGTGCTGATAACGTGTTATGAAAAGAGGAAAAAATAGAAGAGAAGATAAAATAAAAGTCTATAGATTTGTGTGTTATAATGATAACCGAAGTCCTATATTTATAGGGAGGGATATAGATGATAATACTTTCTAGGATTGCAGGAGTACAATTGTCATTCACCAATAACTTACCATTTACAACA